GCATATTCACACATATTCAGTATAAGATATCAGTAATGAGAGATGTATTGAAGAGAATCCATTTATAAGATAAAAATACTTGTTCACTTGACGGAAACGTTTGATTTTATGATCAATTCTAATTCATAAGCTTATGTTAGATTACGCTTAAAAATACCAATAAACCATTGTTATCTACACTATACTAAAATTTATGTCATCATGATTAGCTGTGTGAAATGTCACCAGGATGACTTCGTATTTGGTCAAGGTCCTCTGAAGTGAAATAAAGTGCATTGTTTACAGTTGCTTTGGTTTGTATATATATTACAATCCGTAAAATATTTCCTTATTCACGTACATTTACTAAACCTATTGTTTTAGTTCACCTACGGGGAATGATTGTGCACGAGATATTTTACATGTTACTTTGTGGGTGAAATAAAATGAATAAGTAAGACTGACTTGTTAATAAAAAGTTGTTCAGTTAAATATTTTGATTATACCTGTATTTATTAAATAAAAATCATTAAATGGATTAATACTCATTGATTAGTAAAATGTAATTGAAATAAATATATATTCGAAAGGAAATGTGTTTTCTTCCAAATGTCTCAGATTATTAAAGAAAGTTAAAAGGAATTTCACGTAATACAAACGTTAAACGATTAACAAAGTTTTTCTGGACATTAAAGACATTAATATCTTAAAAGTGCTCTTTTATACACTTTAACATTGAGTCTAATGGCAGCAACATGACAACAAAAGATTATACCCATACGACCAGGTCAGACCATGATTCGCCGAAAGTTCTGTGCCATCATGTCATTGCCTGCATTATTTGCTATTCAAACCTTTCCTGAAAACGATAAATGATTCTGTCGAGACTGTCAGACGAACAAGTTTATTTAAGATATTTAGCCTGACAAGGGTAAATACACGTAACAGCAACTTGTAAAAAATTCTTCAAGATTCTACTGTTATACTGTATCAGATAGTGCATGGATTGTTACGAAGTATTCAAGCATATTGATTTGGAAAGGTCAAGCAATTAGCGTCACCTTATGATATATTGTCCTATAATTGTTCTCGTATCTAATAACAAGGGAATTTCATAGCTGATAATTAGATAGATAACTGTGACACAGATTTCATATTTCACTGTATCTGTTCTTTCTTCTTTAGATAATGATTAATGAGAGTGAACCAAAATGATTTGACGGAAACGGAGATCTGTTTTACATTGAATGTAAAGCGATGACCCACTGGACGCAATGAAAATACGAAAATTGCAGAATTGAAGACTCGGTTTAATTGTCGTAGACTTACAACTTTTACGGCCTAAACCTATTATATAGGGTTAACGCACGTTTTTCCGTGTTATAACGTCTGCAGAGTCCCGAGGAACGGTTGGTGCCCGAGCCCGGTAGGGCGAGGGCTCCAACAGTTCCGAGGGACTCTGCAGACTTTATAACACGAAATAAACGTGCGTTGACGCTTTTATAGCATAAAATTTTCAAACAAATTCGTGATGTATAGTTTATACAAAACACAATTACATTAAATTCTTGTGCTTGGACGGTATTTATCCAATTCTATGTTTTACGTATCCGTTTCATTTTTCCGGGGCCAACAACTTAGAAAATTCTCGGAACCGAACGAAATTTTGAAATTTAATTGATTTAACAAAGCTTGGCCTTTGGAGATTTATTATCTCAAGAAAAAAATAAAACGTTACATTACTCTACCCTCTACCCAAGACAAAACATGACCCTCAGAAATTCTTAGAATGATTTCAGATTGACGGTAGAAAAAAGATCAGTGACATCAGAATCGGTTTTTTTTTTCAAGCAAACAAGTTTATAAATTTTTTTTAAAAAAATCAGGCACTAAGCATTATTCTCTCAAAGAAATATAATGAGAATTTATCAACATTAACATAAATAAAAACATTTTCTCATATTAATTTTGTGTTATCTAGTTTTGTAAGTTAATCGGAGTGTTAAACTGAATGACAGGTAGATTCTACTGTACTGAGTATTTGTTTACATTGACAACTGTCCGTTTCTTAGAAAGGGCGACAACCAAGATTAGCACCGATGTCTATACGCCGTTTTTCCGGCATAGTTACTTGAATATACGATTGAGGCCCTCGAATCAATAAATTTCAATATAACAAGAGCGCATGACTCTTTGGCAAACAGGCCAAATCGTCATTTTTTGTTTGTTTGTTTACTGGGCCCTGTATTTATTGCGCATAGGTGAAACCGGGCTATAACAAGAGCGCGTGACTATGTTAACACATGGTTTTGGTCCCGTTATAACATGGGCAAAAGAGGGAAAAATAGCCGAGTTTATGCTATAATATAAATTAAAGACACATTATGCCTCAGAAACGAATAATATATTGTTTCTTTACCAAAGGGCAAACATAGAGTTCATTACGTTTACATAGTAGTTATAAAGCATGTTAGATGCTTGGTACATAAATAAAGTAGCGCTTGAAATAGTGAAACTGTTAGTCATAGAAATAGCAAAATGTAAACAAAGAAGTATTTTGACTTCCATACAAAGTACTAAACCATTATACATTTACTAATTTCCAAAATACCGAACAAAAGAAAAAGATGATCCAGGTAATTGGTCGAGGAGTGATTTGTAAACTAAAAGGTTTTTTTTTTTAAAAAACTTTTGACAAATAAAAATAAAAGCATTTCTGGGGCATAATTGGCATTCAGTAAAAAAAACTGTTTGAATCAATGTCCGTTTAGTTTAATTGCGTAAACTGTTTACTTAAAAATGCAAAATGCGGTATTCAAATTATATTTTTCTTCTCATTTCTTTTTTTACCGTCAAAACACTTTATTTATCATACGGTTTATCAGAAGGACATTAAGGGATTTATCATACGGTTTATCAGAAGGACGTGAACGCTGAAGACAGACACATAGGGAAAGTCCACCAATAATCGTGCCAGGAATCTGACAAGCTCGTATTCATTCATCGAACATGCCATGAAGTAAAGTGAAGCATACCTTGATAAAACTATATATCATCTGTTGATATGCCAAGGAAGAACAAATAAAAACTTATTACGAACATAAACCACCTAATAATTTCCAACAGGTAAAAGTTTCAGCACTTGGCCGCCATTTTGCAAAATGTTTGACCATGTGATTACGAGATTGACTTTTCTGAACCGATGTACTTCCAACCTTTTTTATGAATTACTTTTTGAAAGATATTGAAAAAAAGTGATTTACTGACTTTTGTATAATACAATCATATTTAATTACTAAAAATTAAAGAAAATAAATCAACATTATCTTGAATCATAAATGTTTAAATAATGTCAACAAAGATGAACTGAATATAGTAAACGACTCTACTCTAATCGGTTCCCGTGAATGACGTCATACGAGGTCTCGCGTAGCTCCTAATGTCATGGCCGACTGTAGCCGGCGTAAATGATGTTTTACAGTTAAATAGGCAATTTTAATGACAGTATTAATAATCTGAGACTGTAAATGGTATACAACGATATTAAAATAATTGTTTTATCTCAAAATGCACAACAATTGATTGGGACAACGGTACTTGTAAGTGAAAAATAAGGTTAAATCAACTTCAACTTATGTTATTCTGGTTAGGTTTCGTAACGGGTCTAATCCAAAACTTTAATGCCGCATCTAATGAAAAACACAAATATTAAAAAACGGTTTATAAAGTTTTGGAAGCCAAAACTAGACTGGAACAACACATTTTGGGACTGGTGTACCATATTAAGAAGGACTAGACTAATACCTTGTGTACACAATTTCGTTTTTTCGCTCACTCCATTTTACTTTTACCAGAATAATAGTTTTATTGTAAAAATGACCAAAACAAAAAAGAATCGCAAAACAAAAAAGATTTTCCATTAAATTCTGAAAATTATTTTGTAATCATCTTATGTTTGTCTGCCTTCAAAAGATAAGGTACACCATAGAGTATTTTGGTACTGACAATAAATTTATTTGAAAATTTAAATTGTAATATTACTTATCAATTATCTACTTCATAAAAATTTTTACCTCCAAAGTCTCGAGGGGATAAACCCCTCTTAATTTTGATACAAAACGTAATGTAAAATAAGAAGTTAAAAATGTGATTTATAAAAATAAACAGAAACTCGTTGAAAAAGAGGGGTTTATCCCCTCGAAACGTTGGAGGCCAACAACTTTGTGAAGTAGATTATTATTATTTAAATGCTTCCACCATTTACACATTCGATTCTACACTGAAGAACCTAAAATACGCACCATGATGTGATTTTGATAATGACATATATAAAACATGTGGGAATTGGTAGTACATGTAGTAAGTACTTATGTCTAACTGTAACACACACAATAGTGATGATAACTTCGGTTTTAAACACCCTAGAGAAAGGTGATCAATTCGGACTTCAAACTTCTAGAGAATGATGATCAATGCGGACGTTAACAACATAGAGAAAGGTGATAAATTTGGTCTTCAAAATCCTAGAGAAAGGTGATAAACTCGGACAGAAAGGTGATAAATTTTGACTTCACCACCCTCGAGAATGATGCTTAATTTGGTCTTCAACACCCTAGAGAAAGGTGATAAATTCAGACTTCAACGTCTTGAGAAAAGTGATTAAATTCGGACTTGAACGTCCAAGAGAAAGGTGTTAAATTTCGACTTCAACATACAAGAGAAAAATGATAAATTCGGATTTCAAAACACAAGAGAATGATAATTATTTCGGACTTCAACACCCTAGAGAAAGATGATAAAGTCGGACCGTAACACCCTAGAGATAGGTGATAAATTATGACTTATACACCTAAGAGAACAGTGATAAATTCCGTCTTCAACACACAAGAAAATGATAATAAATTTGAAGGTTATCACATTATAGAATGTTGATAAAATCGGACTACAACACCCTAGAGATTTTTGGTAAATTCGGACACAACAAAGGACAGGTATATTATGCGGATTATCAAATTTATTACTTAATTTTATTAACTTTATTAATATTTTAACAATTCAATAATACAAGCATGATTATTTTCGCTTCTTGTACTGAAATATTGATTGGCATATTAAAACCTGGTGCAAACGCAATGGCCGTCAACACAATGTCTGTGTCTACCGTTATCGCAGTTTGGACATGAATCCACCATCGTGCATGTTTGTCCTGAAATAATCCAAGTATTTTTAATGTAACGTGTGCATTCATTGAGCTTCTATGTCGATTATGTAATTATGGTAAAAAAGGCGAATCAAACATTTCCTCATTATATGAATTTGTACTAGAAGCAATTAAAATTTCATATTCCCGACGACCTCGGCTCTTCGACCAAACAAGAAAAGAAACACCAACAAAAGTCCTTACAAACTATATTTGTGCGGACAATAAACCACTTACGATTTAATTGGTGTGAAACCGTAAAGAATATCACACAAAAAGGATTTTGTAGTATTTATTTTACATGTTAACTTGTAAATGCTTTCAGTATATATTATTTAAGTGATGCTGTTAAAGCAATAATCTTTGGGAATTTTTGCCATTTAGTTCTAGTAAGTTGAAGTATGCTATAAGACATAATAAAATCTACATGGGATCTCATAACACAATAGTGAATTCAAAGAAAGACCAATCACAGTATGGGAAGTGGAAGGGGCTTGGGTAGGTGTGTTGAATGGAAGGGAGTGGGGCTGTGGTAGGTAGTGGATGGGAGAGATAGGGTTGGGGCTGTGGTAAAGGTTGCGGCTTCGGAGTCTAAGACTTTAAAACGGTTTTTTGTGTCGCCTCTACGGAGTAGTGGCGACATATAGGGATCACTTCTCCGTCGTCTGTCTGTCCGTCTGTCCGTCTGTCTGTCTGTCCGTCCGTCCGTCACAAAACTTGTCCGGACTACTCCTCATAAACTACTGGTGCAATTTCATCCAAACTTTACAAGAATGATCAGTACCAAGTCTAGTTGTGCATATTGCCAGGATTTTCCGGTTCAATGATTTTTGTCAGAGTTATGGCCCTTTAATAATTTTTAATTTTAAAGTTTGTCCGGACTACTTCTCTTATACCACTAATGCAATTTCAATGAAACTTTACAGGATTGATCTGTAGCTCAAGTCCTTGCGCATATTGCACGGGTTTTTCCGGTTGAATGATTTTGGCCGAGTTATGGACCTTTGATAAAAAGGTTTCTTTTTCTGTGTGTTGCCAGATACACAAAAGCTTGTCCGGACTACTCCTCATAAAACTACTGGTGCAATTTCATCCAAACTTTACACGAATGATCAGTACCAAGTCTAGTTGTGCATATTGTCAGCATTTTCCGGTTCAATGATTTTTGTTTGAGTTATGGCCCTTTAAAAATTTTTATTTTTAAAAGTTTTGTCCAGACTACTTCTCTTATACCACTTATGCAATTTCAACGAAACTTACAGGATTGATCTGTAGCTCAAGTGCTGCGCATATTGCACGGGTTTTCCGGTTGAATGATTTTTGCCGAGTTATGGCCCTTTGATAAAAGGTGTTTTTTTCTGTGTGTTGCCAGATACGCAAAAGCTTGTCCGGACTACTCCTCATAAACTACTGGTGCAATTTTATGCCAAACTTTACAGGAATGATCAGTACAAAGTGGTTAGTCTAGTTGTGCACTGTCCGTCTGTCTGTCCGTCTGTCACAAAATTTGTCCCAACATGAAATTGGCCATCATGAGGCGACACATGTGATTACTGATCGCTCTTGTATTTAAAAAAAATAATTGGACACTAAATGCAATAAGGCCCTAAATATAATAATAATTGCTATTAAGATGAGTTACCGGATTGGATTGAATCAGTTGTACATATACACTGGTTAATTTGGGTGTTGCAAAACACGTGGGTGTGGTGTTCACATTTGGTCGTGTCGTGATTTCTGCAGTCGTCTCTCGAATTACATGATTCAGAGTAAACCGTGCCTGAAAAAAAAAATAAAAAAAATCAAAACAAAAAAAAAAACAACAAAAAACAAAAAAAAAAAAAAAAAAAAAAGAAAGACACAACAACAAAAGAAAATAACTTTATTGAACATAATGTGAAGCGCCAAACAAAATCACAAAAATGTGGGTTATTATCAGTTGTCAGAACTCAAGAGCAATAACATATGATCAACAAGGAAAGGTGGCGTTCAATAAAGGCAACCCCACACGATTCAGGAACTAGAAACAGTGGCAAGAAGCCCAGGCGGACCTCGAACAAAAAAGGGACAGGACTCAAGGTAGAGCACAGAAAGGTTTATCATAAAATCGTAGAGTATTTTCAAAGTTAACTCCAAACGTAAATTGTATAATTATGATGTACTGACCAGTACTAGTAACAAACGTAACTATATCAAGTTGTTTTTTATACTCATCATTGTATTTTAACTTTTTCAATTTGATTTGATTTCATATGACTAAATAGAACAACATCCAACACAATTTAACAATAAACACGTTTTGCTTAAAGCTACGTGCCTCAAGATGAGTCAACATATTTCAATAAAATCAAACTAAAGAAAAATGTACAAAGATGTTCGGAAAAGTAAAAGTTTCAAGATTCATGTAATATTTTACATATTATGTGCGGTTAATGGCTGTATTTTCAGTATTTACAACTATATTTTTACTGCGTTATTAACGCGACGCAGTAATTAACGCAGTAATGGCTTTTTTATGCATGTTTTGAGCACTGTTTGGTAATAAACGTGGTTTGTTAATGCCATCGATAATGTGTAGATTTGCTTCCTTTTGGATGAGTCTGGAGGCATGCTGCTTTAAATAAGCTTAATCAGTTGACAAATAAAAAAAATTATTGATACAAATACACCATTTATGCCAATACTTCAATTATTTAATTACATAATTACGTTGCTTTATTCGAGCATGTGTTATGATATTTATATGTATATACTACATAATTCCTAATGTAAATATATGATCATTGATTTGTTTCTATTATAGAAAAACCAATTTTGAACATAATGCCATAACTTGAATGATATAACTTTTGTTTTTATTTTAAAAGATTTATAAGATAAAACTGAATAAAAGCAATGATTTCTAAGTTATTATCTCCTTTTTCACATCTTTTTACAATGTTCAAAATGTTAAGCAAGTATTAAGTGCTAAACTTTCCTAATAATAGGATTGCAATTAAATCTCTCGAATTGATCTAATTTGAAGTTGGAAATTGAATATTTAAAATATCTGCGTCTTCGAATATTTATTTATAAAAGTGTGACGTATAGGTATTACCGTTACTTTTACTTTGAATTTTTATAAGTATACATTTTTTATGCATTTATTTCGATTATGACACTTTTAATTACCGATATTCACTTATTGTTGTTAATAATTTGCTAAAAGTTTGCTGACGGGATGTATGAGAGAGTAAAATTTCGTGATTCCATATTGATCTTAAATACAGAAACTAAAATAGGCTCAACTTGTTTCGGTTGTCTTTTTTAAAACGTTCAATTTTGACATTAAACAATAGTCAAATATAAAACGAGCTTTGTTATTTATACCAGAGAAGTGCATGTATACACACTTAACAAGTTCGATTCTTATGTTTCATCGACAAAGTAAACTCAAAATATTCTGTCTTTTAAGCAAACTTAATACCGTATTTGAATGCTAAACTCTTTTGACTAAAATAGAACACTTTTTTGCAGATTGGCACTTTCTGTTGAAATTTGTTCCAATTTCAGCCCTAACGCGACATACTTCATTGTTCCATCGGGTTATCCTCACATCGGAACGAGATAAGATAAAACGTACAATTTAACCTATAGCCTGCTGACGACAAAGAAAAATGTTCCCTTAAAACCACTACAAACCAAAACCAGCCTGCACATCCGTGTCGACTAATCATGTTCTGTTCACTACGCAGTCAAAATGATGAATGATCTTTTCCAAATTGAAAGGACAAAATGTGAAAAAGTAGATCATTAAGAAGGACGGCGCTCAGTGAACGCCATTTGAAGTCAATCTAAGATAATAAGTCTAGTATATGACAACTCTGCGTGTTAATCGAAATTAACCGGACAATGAATTCATCAGACAAAAGTGGTACAGAATAACATGCGTGCTTATGAAATATCTAGTGTGTACATTTCTTCAAATAACTAGCTATGAAAATATGACTTTTTAAACTAGAATTATCGCTGAATGTGATTTATACCCCCACCAATATCCTTACAGAAAACGACTTTGGAAGGTGGTTAAGGAAATAAATTTAGTAGCACAAATCCATATACATATTAAAAAGAAATTATCTCTGGTGAAAAAAAAAGCCAAATTGTACAGGTAATAGTATAAATATATATTGTCAAATCATGTTTGACACAGTTACAAATTACCTTTCATTTTCTCAATGTACTAAAACAAACAAACGAGAGCAATGAAGTTAAGAAAATAGAATTATTATGTCAAAATGTAATTAAGAGTGGAAACACTTTGCATACTGAGCTTACTTGTAACCCTTCATATATTATATAGTTTCAAGTGAATATATTTTCTAGTTTCAGAAACATTTAAGTATTTATGTTTATATCAGAACATTTTCTAAGCCTAAAAGGGGCATGACTTGCGTCATAATTCAAAGGAATTGTAGAATTTTCGTCATCTAAGCTTGCTTGTATTCATTCATATAAATTTTAAGTTTCAAGCATAAATCTATTCTGGTTTAAGAAATATTATAGTAAATAAATTTTAAATAAAATAAAATAAAATAAATTGAAAGACATAAAACGGACTTAACTTTGTCAAAATATAATACACAGTAATCTCCCCACATTTTTTAGTTATGAAACTTGACCTGCATATCTTACTTGCGACACTTCATAATATTACGTATTTGAAGTTTCAAATGATTATCTGTTTTAGTTCTAAAATATTCAAGCACATGTTTTAATTTCAGAACAATTTCTAACACAATATTTGACCTTCAAATGTGACCTTGACTTTAAGCCGGCACAAAGTTTACATGGGTTTTGCACATTGCCCAGTTGAGGTGAACATTTGAGTCAGGTTTGAAGACAATTCTTTAATTGGTACAAGATTAATAGAGCCGACACGACATACTGTCTAATACTGTAACCAAACGAATATGCGCGACGAATTAATATTCGCTTTATTCGCGGATGGCCACGAAGCGCGAATATTTGTTTGCGCGGACAAGTTCGCGCGATTTTGCGAATACATTGGAGATAATTTTTATTTTAGACGTTGTTCATGCAAAGCTACATTACCGGATATTTTCGAATTTTACGGGCACCTGTTAGGAAGTAATGAATTGCTATGAATATTGCCATAAAGGAATTAAAACACAAACTTAGTAAACTACTTCTATTTTATAAATATCAAAAGAACTTTTTCTTTGGGGTCTTCCTGGGCTCCTTGCCGCTGGCTATTAATGCTGGGTCGGGTGGAGACAGCGTTCATTGAACGCCGCCTTTCCTTGTCGATCTTGTTTGTCATATAGCAATCAAAATAAGCATCCACATTTAAATACAGTTTATGAAATACTAGTATGCCTATTGTCAATCACGTTCCGTATAGGGTACTATACGGAGCATGTGGCAGTTTTAAGTTTCTTCAAATTGACACTTCTATACTAAAAATTTCAAATACAGCTTTGTTTGCCGCTTTAATCATTCTTTTCTGTTCTGGTGTGCTTTCCAGATCATGATGAAACAACAACAACAAAAAAAACAACAAAAAAAAATAAGTTTGATGAAAGCAATAAATTTTCATTGTTTTTAACATACCTGCAACCACAAGCATAACAACGACCACTGAAAGATGCATTTTTGATTTGTATCCTTTCGAGTATGGAAGACTAATGGTTTAGTGTAACATATATCTGACTTAAATACCACCTTGATAAGAGCTTATCTACTTCTGTTTAAGGCCGTTCAAAATTAGTTGTTTTCTTGTTAATATAAAATAAGTAAATGAAATAAAATATCTAGCATAAATAAAAGCACAATAGCACAATTGTAAATTTTTAAGTCGGTACGCCAACTAGAAATCGATAAGTGTAAAACATATTGGCTACACAGACCACAGGAATCACCACCCGGCAATCGAGTCTGTCCTGTTTTTGTTTTTGGTCGTCCAGGGCTCTTTGCCTCTGATTCTTGTTGCTGGGTCGTGTGGGGGTGTGTGGGTTGCGTTCATTGAACGCTGCCGCCTTTCTTTGTTGATCTTGTTGATCATATTTTAGCTCACGCAAGGTTTAAAGGATACGTTTTTTAATGAGTAAAATAGGTAGGGAAATTTTCTTGAATTTTTTGATAATGCATATCAGATGAAGACAAGGGTCATACTGGTTTCCTGTGAAATTGTTGTGTATATTGTTACGTAACAGCAACAAAGTAGAGGGCATATGACGCATTTTTAGCTTTGTTGGTGGAGGAAGATATTTTTAGTCGAATTCAAGCACAAACGGTCATTGAGAAGAACCACAAACGTTCGGTAAGCAAAATTGATAGCTTCCTTACATTCAAGAATCCAAAGTAACTGACGGGACTCAAATTCGCAGCATATAGGCAACATATGAACAGATCTGCGGATGATTCGGAATTCTAAATTTACCAGTACATGTTAAATGTTGATTCTGCTTAAACCGGTGCTAGGGGGCGTGGACGGTAGTTTGCACTTGACAGAACCGTCCATGAACAGGCTCAATCAAACAGAGCCTGCAATTCAATTTTGCCGTGTTGAGCTTTCCTTACGGATTCTTATTTCTCTCTATTTTAAACTTAGCGACATGCACGACTCGACCAATGACCCCCGTTTTCAAAAGAATAATGTACACAATGATAATCTCACACTTCCTTTACTTCTGCATCAATGTCGGGGCTTCTTTTAACTTTAGAGTAATTTCATTTATATACATGTAATTATTGTATCAATTTATTTAAATCTATAACAAATTAATGCCCCTGAGGCAGAGAAAAATGATTTGAGTAATCATAAACTGATGTTTTTTTCTCTGAAAACTGTTTCACTTATTAACATTTCTGCCATGTAGTTTTGATTTCCTTGCGACGGGTTCAAATTTAAACAAACTGACTTGGTTTAACCTTAACACTACCTGTGGGAGGTATATATCTGTCCCGCCCCTACCCCGGTACATCTTCTCATTTATAATGTGTCTATCAGTTTAGTTTTCTTCTTCTATCGATTCCAAAGAAATAAAACGAAAACAGAACTATTCACGTGCGGATAAGCGACCAGGTAAATTATTTTCGCCCGTAAAGTTAGCACTGCCATGAGGACTGTTTGGATGTCATAAAATAGAACGGCCATAAGATAGATAATGCCATAACAGATCAGCATAGGCCAAATCTTCGTCATGCGAACGAGATGATTTTCACCTGCTCCGCTTATATTGTTAATATACCCTCCCTTGATTTTTGTTAAATAACCGGTACTCTGCCTTAAAATTGACAATCCAGAACAATGCTCTTCTGTCGGGATCAAACTGTGCGATAGAATATATTTTAACGGGGACAAACTATAAGAAAGTGGAACTAAAATATAGTGTTAAAATTGTCCGCTTGGGAAGCATAGCAACTGTTAAGGCCAGAATATTCGTATCAAATCTGTATTAGTTTCTTTTATCTGTTAACAAGCAGGTTGGTATCGATACCTATGGTGACTGATTTGTGCCATTCGACAGTCGAGAATAAACAAATTAAAATGGCGGGGGCACGAAGCGAAAAACACGCACATAAGCGGGGCGCGGAGCAAAAAAAAATCAAGATAATAATTAAGCGCAGTGTGAAAAATAGCACGCTTATTAACGCCCTATAAAACTAAATATTTACAATGAAATCTCAACTTTTCGCCCGCGCTCCTGCTGTATAGCGTGATTTTATTCTTGCCCCCGTATTTTTTTTTACTTTTCGCTTTGCCACCTTGCGTTGCGAAAACACGAAATGGCACAATCCATACACAATAGTTTTCCGTGCATGTTGTAGGCAAGGGTGTCAACGTAGTCAAACTATTCATAGCATTTATTCTTTTAAAAAATTTACGATATCCCCTATTCCAAGGGAAGGCTCAAATCCAAAATTTGGTACACCGTAGATCGTGTAATTTAAACTTTCATTGGGAGAAAAAAATGAAGCTACAACCCCATTACAACAGAACCCCAAAATTTTTTAAAAAAAAATGGTGATTATATCTGGCAAAAGTGATCCCTTAGAAATACTAAAAACAACAAACTTACTTGAAAATTACAGACTCTGTTTGATTGTGTGTGTACATGAGGGATAAAGAAAATTTGCAACATCCCCTATGTCCCCCAGTACTGTCTTGAGCAGTTCTCAACTCTTGAAAGTTTGAATTTACAATTATCAGCAGGTGTGATATACGGTTAACGACTTTTTTTTGTGCGTCTAGGGGTTAGAGTCGATGACTTCTAATCCAGTTACCTCTCTGGCGTGGGTTCGATCCCCGGGAGATGCTTTGGTAGTTTAGCGCGGAGGAAGGTAGTTTAGTACTGGTGTAACTCTCGAGGAACGATGGTTAGGAAACTACCCGCCAATATGACTGAAATACTGTTGAAAAAGGCGTAAAATGAAACAAACAAGCAAACAAACAGACTTTTTTGTTTTCAAATACTCACTTGTATTTCAAAGTTAAAAGCATTTACGATTGTACGTCCCTATTAAAGGGACTCCGCTGTGGTATTTTGACATGGTGAGACTGTAAATATTTTTCCGAGATTATTGTTCCAATTGATGTTAGTCTGGTCCAGTTATTTTTGTGCACCTTTTCAGGTTATTCCGTTTTTCTGGGGTTTTTTTCTAGCATGATCATTTGTGTAATACAAAAGGACCCAAAAATGAAAATCGTTGCAACGCTTTTCGCTCAAGACCGGCCAGGAATTGTACAAAATCGATTCCAATTCAATTCTGGGTTGACCTTTTTTGTTATCCTTTTGCATATTTGGCTATTAAAGTGTTTCACTAAGCTTCGTTTGATTTTGAAATTTTATGTCATTTTAGCATTTTAACCTCAGTGGAGTTAATAAAAGGTTTAATAAAAGCACGATTTCGCCAATTAGGGATCTAATTTTAACGTAAGGTCACTTCACGGTGACAAAGGCGCCTCACCGAGATACTGTGACAGCTGTTGCGATAAAGAATCGTGATTTAACTGTTTAAGCATTCACGTTTGAAATTTGTTTAAACTTTATTGAGATTTTTTTTCTCACCATTTTCTGCCTACGTGGTTCATTCACTGGTGAATATTGTAAAATCACCCTTTGTGACCAGATACAGAAATGATGTCAGTTCACCTTTAAGAAACAAACCAGTAGTTCAACTGAATAGCTGAAGTTTCTAAAATATCAGAGTGACTAACGTTTATCATAATTATCTTAATATATAAGCTTTAAAGGCAATTCCTTTTTTTTTTTGACCAAGATAACAAGATGTAAAACATCAAATATTTACAGTATTTATTGTAACATGTTTTTCTCCATTCCTCATTTTATAGGAAGTGCTTTTAACATTAAAATTATTTTTAAATACTGGAGTTATTCTCTTCGTAAAAACACAACATAATATGGTTATTTGTTAATTTATTTTATGTATTTTTTTCAGTGCTGTCTGCGGTGGACATTGGCAGCTAATTGCAAAAGCAAAATTAGATCCAATACCAATTCAGATCCTGTAAGATGACAAGTTTATGATATGTCCTTATGTCCTAAAGATCGTTAGTTGATTTAAATTTAATACATGTATAACATGCCTTAATATTTATATTTAATCAGCGTTAATTCTCCTTATAGACCTAAAAGGTGAAATGTTAACAATTAAACATGTTCACGTTTCATTTGTCCCCAATTCATGATAAGGTTTCGTAATTTTTCAAGAGAAGGATACATTTGATTGCAAGTGACACGCGAAATAAACTTATGTGATACATAAATCGTAAAGAATCCATGTGACAAAATAACTCAGCATTTTAAACTGTTATCTTGAACTCGGCAATTGTGGGGTATTCCCATATCCCTTGTTACAACTTTGACCATATAACATTAATGCGCACAATCCAAAGATAGTCACCATGAATCCAAGGATTTAATTTGGATATACCCACATTTGCCAAATTCCGGAAGAAATCTATTCAGTTGAAAGTCTGTCACCGTGAGAGACATGTCATTAAATCTAAATTATTAAAAATATGTACATAATTATCGGAACGTTTTAAAAAGCTATGGTAAGTAGATATTATTTGCTGATCTTTATATACACACACGCACGCGTGCACATGCATAAACGCACACTCCGATTAAAAAATATAAGATTAAGACAACTGGTCTAACCAAAAGGAGCCTAGAAGCAATCCCAAGAAATGCCTTTACATAAGCTAGCTAAACACCAAGTTTCATTGAATCATTATTCCGAACTCTAGTAATTGACCGAAACTGATGCTATATTTTAGTCACAGAGATTAAACATTGATATTAAGATTCCAAGCAATGTCTTTAAATACGCTTTACACAAATTCTCATTGAAATGTCATCTTCCGAACTATAATAATTGACCGGAAACCTATTTTCTATTTAAGTGACAACGACCTTAACTTTAGGGACGCAAAAGCAATCACAAAGCTTGTTTCTATACCAAATGTTATTTATAGACATGTTAATCCGAATTTCAGATATTGACCGGAAACCATTTTGTTTGACGCCCGCCGTCTGCCCGTCTTACCCGATTCTAATACCCAAGATTTTCAAAATTGAAAATATGGGTAATAATTTTAGTAGATGGATCATTAGTTACTTGATTAGGAGATTGGATTAGTTGTTCTTGATCAAAATCTTGAACAATCTGTACCCATTTGCTCTTGCAAATATTGTATAATCTAGATTATACAAGTCTGCAATAAATATGTATGAATTTCAACTCTTTAAAATCTTTCCAAGACTGGTTACTTTTAGGTTGCCTTTTCCTCTAACAATTAGCATTGAAATAAGCGGTTCACAATGAATTTGTAAACTTAATTGGTTTGCACTCGTTGATTAAAATTTTCTTCTGTTGTTTTAATAAACAGGACGCTTAAAACATTTACAATTAAACTTTATTATATTATCCAAAGTATGTTCCTCCTTGAGCTTGTTTTTGTAATGCAAAATCATGTTAAGTGGATACATGCTGTTTTAAATGTTTCCTGCTGTATTTTATATGGTACGTGAAAATTAATATAAATATATAATTTTTATGTTCTTTTCTTATCAGTATGTTGTCGTTTAGTAACGTTGATGAGAGGACATCGATAGAAATCACATATTCTTATTTTAAGAATGTCCTCCGCTAAATGTTTCTTTTTAAAACTAAGAAACTTTTTCTCAAATGATTGTTTAATCATTTGATGTTTAATGTGTTCTTTGAAAATGGATGTACATGTAAAACTCGTCGTTAAGGTGATTTTATTCAATTAATGGTTTGCTTTGACTGTGTATGCATGCGTACGATGCACGTGATTAATTAGCACACGATTCCATTTAAATTGTACTTTGTTCTTTTGAATGTACATCTTTTGAATATACAATCAATATAATTATCAAATATTATACACCAATACTAGTATGTCATTTTATATAAATTTTATGTGATAGTATTGTCATAACTATGTTACTTGAATTGTATGCATTTATAAGTCATAGACGACTAACAAATGATACTTTTGAGGTTACTATACATAATTGTTGAGTTCAATACTGAATGTCATTTGACGATTTTTCTGCAGTCAACCAAATATAAGACGAAGTCCGCGCTCGTCAAGCCAAATATAGGTCAATATATCAGTCCTATATAATCAGTATTGTACTTAACAAACAACGTATAATAACATCTCTATTTCACACCACCAGTTTTGACATTTTTTATGAACTTTATTACTTCGAGAACAATATGGTACTGATAGCGATGAAAAATTTAAATCGAGAAAAAAATATAGAACAGAACTGATTGAAAATAAATTACGTGACTCTGAAAATGATACTGTTAAATTCAGTAATGATTTATGTTTGGAGATCATATGGTGGAAACGCTGAAGTGCATTGCTTATGTGTTATATGGTGTGAAACAAATAATCTTTAGTACATTACAAGGTTAA